ACTGGTTCGGAACCAATGTGGTATCCTAATCCAGTCTCCTTGGGTTGCAAGGAGATTATCTCTTGAGCTCTTTGTAATTTGTGTTGAGTACAGCTTGTGTGATTTTCAACGTTCACCACCAACGTTTACAGGGTTGGTTTTCACTCGCTCACCAACAACGACCCTTTGGTTTTCACTCGCTCTCCAAAGAAACGAACAATGACACAACCTCTCCGAACACACTGCCTTTCCAATTTTTCTATCTCTCTTCTCTCTTTTATGTACACAGTAAATCTACTAAAGTGAATTATAATGATTGTTAAGAGTAGAATAAAGAACTTGTAGTTGGATAGACAATTTGTATAGAAATATGCGTACTTCTTTACAGGAGCATTCTGGTATTTATAGATATTGCCTAGAACTAGCCGTTACTGATGATTCCTTGATTGTTGGCTTTGTCCCTTCTTCAGAAATATTACTGCCAGGATATATTTTTCCTTAAGAAATGAGATCAATGGATTCTCTTTGAATTTGGACAGCCTTTTCTTTCCTTTTGAACTCTGACTGAATCTTCCCTTTCTAACATTGAGATATACTATGAATTTGGTCCTTCCTTAACAGCTCCATATGAATCTGGACGATTGTCAAGTCGTCTTTCAAGCCCGTTGAATTTCTTTCCTTGGTCTTCTACCAGATTATATGGCACAAGATAATTCCTTGATTTCAACAAATGTGTTCCTTATATGAAGAGAGTCATGCATCCTGATATCTTCCTTCAATGGAAAAGTTTTCCATATCTCCTTTCACGTAATGGAATATTTGACCACTTTATATGGATGTGATTCCATATATTGTGTTGTTCCTTATATTCTGAATGGACTTTTCCTTTTGAAGCATAAGTAATTAAGTTCTCGATCTATTGATTGTAATAAGGAAAGGTAGTAAGTAATTCCACCTTCTTTCTTTAATCCTTTTTATAACTTTGGACATTATGCCTTCCAAGTCTCCAGTGCATAATTCCGTTTCTTTGCTTAAAGATTCTTCTTCAAAATATTCCTCATTTTCCTCCAATAAGTCATGATGATTAAATCAAAATCCCATGATTTACTTTTTCATGATTGTAGTAATTCTTGATTGACTCCATACCCCATGCTTCTTTCCATAAGAACAGTACTTTCCATCTCATACGTAGTAAATAGGCTTCTTTGTGCAGCATTCCTTAAATGCAAGATTTGGCCTATTCCTTGTAGTACTTGACATGATATCTCTTTTCATAATATAGAATATACTATACCCATAAAACATATCCTTCCTTGGCCTTGTAGTATCTCTTCCATATAGTATTTTCCTTCCACAAATAACAGATCTTCTGCATGATTTTAGCAACTTTTCTTTCAAGATGTTGAAGAACTTACCATTCATAATTTTCATAGATTCTTCTTCTGATATTGTAGTAAGCCATTCAATATTTGAATTTTCACTTTCAAATATTTATCCTACTATGACGCTTGGAGATTAAAACTCTGAAAGTAATCTTCCTTGATAATTCTTCACATGATATTCTCTTTCCCATATTTGTTTGGATCTTTACTAGCATCTTCTTTCTTGAATAAACCTGTACAAAATTAAGATTGCCACAAGTAAATGTTCTTTGATTTATATTGGTTTGTTATCATCAAAATTAATACGTGAAACCTTGAAGCTAACATGAAGAAATGGGAAATGGCATCAAGCAAGGAGCATTTTGGTGTTAAGACCCTACTGGCTTGTGACTATCCTGTAAATGTCATCCCAGTTGACCCTGGTTCATCTCTGAGGACACCCATCAACAACAAGGTTAGGGCCTTGGTTCAAGAATGTGGAACTAAGGATGATGAAATTGCTAGGCTCAAGGCTCGAGTTGCTGAGTTGGAATCTGAGAGAGATAACCTTAGAACTGAGCTAGCAAAAGAAAAGGAGAAGAGTGATGGAATGTTTCAGAATATGCTAAACCTTCTCCAGTCTCAACCCTCTAGTTCCTCCAAGCCCTAGGTCTCCTAGCACTTGTCTTCTGAACCAGTCTAGTACGTCCAGTGATCCCCAGTGACCTAGAATAGGGATGTTTCTGTTTCTTTTTGCTCATGTTTTGGAAGTTTTTCTTTCTTTTTGTGGACTGTTTGTGGAACCATATCTTTATCAATGACAACTGCTGTTTTCTCTTGTTCAATGATGATTCTAATCTTAATAGTTTAAATATGTGTATTGATTATTGATAATTGCACAATGATTTCACTTGCAGTTGCCCCAGTGGCCATGAGTACTTATTAAAGTATGGGTTTCACACTATGTATGCAACTTTTCGATGATGCCAAAAGGGGAAAGAGATGATATTGTGCTTTACTCATTATTCTTATTAAGTGATATTTATAACCTAATTAACCTGGTCCTTGATGATAAGTAAAACATCTAAGCTAAGTGTTGATGGTTAAGCTGAGTTCTTACAGGTTCTTTGATCAGTAAAAAGCACTGAGTTTGTCATCATCAAAAAGGGAAAATTTGTTAGCCCAAGAACAGGTGAAGTTTTGAAGAATGACAAATGAACTCAGTCATGGACCAGGTCCATCATGTGAAGCACAGTGTTTGTCACTCTATACATGTGAGATGCACGTGAAGGAGATAAGTCTCATTGATCAAGCAGCAATATCTCCTGAACTGATCGAAAAGGTTGCATATGGGATAAGGAGAGAAAGTCTCCTAATGAGAAGAGAATACAATCCGGATAAAAAGATAGGGTTGGAGTTTGTGTTGTTCAAGGACTCAACTTCGATGGAGATCAGAAATTGAATCTCAATTACTCTAATTACGAACTCATTAAATAACAGTGATTGTTCTCTTTTACAGGCATTGCACAAACGCAGAAGTTAAACTAAATTGAGAGCAAAAGAGCGAGGCAATTTTGCAAGCAATTTATGTGAGATTTAAGTGTGCATTCCTGAAGCTACTTGGACAAGATAGAAGAACCAATTCCATTGTGTCTTTCTTTTATTTTAGTTCAATTTTAGTAGGTGATTTAAACTTGTACCTTTCAGCTTTCATAGAAGCAATTGTATTAGGTACTTTGAGTATTCAAGTTAGAGTTAACTTGAAGGTGTCGCAACAGTTGAGGCTGTGTGACACAACGGGATTAGAGTTTAATCCTTAGGTTTACAAGAGTTTTGTAAATGTTGTTTTGGCTCAGTGATTTTAGTGGGAGTTTGGGAAAATCCTACTGAGTAGTAGGTCGTGGTTTTTTCACCTTTTGAGCCAGGTGTTTTCCACGTAAAAATCTCTGTGTTCTTTATTTTCTGTATTTATTATTTCGCAAACAGCAGTAGTTAGTACACTTAGAAGAACCAGGTTCTTCTAGAGCGAAAATTGGGTACCACACAAATCACCCCCCCTCTTGTGTGGTATTGACGTTTAGAACATCACAAAGTACATGTGGTCGGTTGTACTTATACTATACTCTACACTTCTTGTGTAGATTTTGGATTCGGTCCTAGCGGCGGTCAGTAGATTGCTTAGATTGATTGCATGACGGAGACTTGAGGTATAGCTGCACGTCGTTTGAGCCCTGAAGTCCCCTTCTACCTTATTCTAACTGGTTATTTCATTTCAAACAGTTTTACTTTCATTCAGGTCATTATTTGCATTATTCTAGTCGTTCGTGCACTTGTGACACCAGTTTTGGGATTGTATCTAGATATCGTTGTTGCTATGGTTTTCTCACTCTATTTCAGATTATTTAGTTTCTTGGTTATTATTTAATCTGAATTGTTAAAAATGGCTTAAAACTATTCTAACATTGACTTGTCTAGCAAATGAAATGTTGTGCACCACCACGGTCCCGATGGTGGAAATTCCAGGTTGTGACATGTATTAACTTTCTTCAATATTTAACTAGTGAAACATGCATATCTTTTGAGATTTTGAATAATGTTTTTATCTTTTATACGTAACATTAGAAAAGGAAAAATTATTGATTTTTAGATAATTTTATCTATAATAGCCAAAAAATATCTAAACATCGAATGTTGTTATAGTTGTATAACAACCATTCGCTATAAAAACAGAAAAAAATAGGAACAGACGAGGCTGTTGTAGAGAAGGTTGACGGTAGTTTGAAACTAATTCGAATTAACAACACAGATAATATATTATTTTTTTATATAAATTTTGCAGATATGTCATACTATATATTTTCATTACCCTTTTTTTTTTTTTTTTTTTTTGTGGGCTTTGATATTTTTGCATGTGATTTGGAAATTGTTTTGCAATTATGTCTAGACATGTTCAAAGTCTTTGTTCTAACCCAGCTAATGGATATTACTAGTTGAAATTAAAACACATAAAGTAAATATAAGGCTATGATATAACTGGTGTCTTTCTATTGCTCAAATGATTTCCTAGTTATTTTTTCTTCCTTAGGGAAGGAATAGGGAGAATTTGGAATAACATGAGACATGTTTAATCTGATCGTGATTATTACCATATAATGTGATTACATTTTCAATTTTAGAGCGTTTGATGTTAGTTTAAAAGAGAGTACCTGTCGTTTCCTAAAAATCGAGCTACTTGTTCCAGTCATCAAGAATATTTCATTTCATTCCTGTAGTCTACTTTTTAATCACTTTCCTTTTCTTTTTTTTTACAATGAGAAAGAATGTGACATGAATAATTTACAGTTACAATAATACCTCAATGTAGAAGCCTAGTATAATGGTCATTTGTAATATATACATATAGAAAGAAAGAAAAAATACACGCAAAAATTACCGTAATTAATTAGTTTAATTTTCGTAATAATAATGTTTGTTAAAGCACTTAGTTGGATTTTTCTTTCTTTTGTTTGGAAAAATCAATTAGAATCGAATAATTGACACCCCTGCTGCTTAGTGCTTCCTTGAGTGTGGATGGCCGCAACACTCTTAATTTTCATGATAAAAAAAGGTCATAAATTTTCCTTTGAGTAAAGATTCTATTACGAAACATGCACTGTTAGGTTCTGTTAGATTTTTTTGTCTTATACTCATTCAGACGATATGTTTACAGAACTTACAGCAATCAGCTTGGGCAATTTAGATTTCGCCTATCTTTTTGTATTAACCTGAAACATAACTTACCCCCAGTAAATTGCTGGTATCACTCCTAAAAATCATAGTGACTCAAGATTAGGGGAGGAAATGGAAAAAGAAAAAAACAATCTTTACCTTTCTATTAATTCTAATTTCTAAAATAACAGCGACTAAAATCACAAAATTCTGACTAATCTTCTACGTCTGTTCAACTCTTCTACATCCAATGGTGGTGGAGCATAGCGACGGAGAGAATCAAGACTGCAAAATCATATGAAAAGTATGTTAAAATATAAAAATAACAAAAAAGAATGTTTGGAACCACTTTACCCTGTTGAACAAAAGGACAGCATCTGCGCTGACAACTACCAGAAAATTGCAAACAAGCGATGAAGCGAACACACATGTTTAACATAAGCGGACGTGGAGGCGGGAGGGATTGAGGAACTGTGGGGAGGAGGAATTATTGGAAAACGGAAAGGAAGAACAGAAAAACAGGGAGAAACAGATGGAAACTGGGGGTGGGAATGAACAGGAAAAAGGGGAAACGAACAAACAGAAGGGACATGGAAGCCAAATGAGAATGAGGTAAGGGCAGAGAAGTGTCGATTGTAGGCAATGAAGGGGCAGACTATGAGGACGCTGATAAATATGTTAAACAAGAAAAAAGAGGTTTTACGTCTCCATTACAATACCAAGAATCAGTTATAATTGGAGAACATGTCAAGTTTGAATATTTCATGACACTATGTGTTTGAATATAAAACAGAATGGTGTTAATACATTTACTTCAGATAGGATTTCAGTGGCACAAATCTTGAAATCATGACAACGGAAATCTTACCTGCAGTTTTGTGGAACTCGCCATGATACTGCCGACGATATCTTCTGTGCTGGTGGCAATGACAAGAAGCTTTTCCAGTCCTGAAGCAGGATTCTTAGATCATGAAGTTTGCTTTCCAGTCCAAAACAGCAATTAGCATGCATTGTACAAACTTCGCTCAAATTTTTGCTAGGTTCACAAAATCCACCAAAGTATGCAGTGTCCAAGAATCTCATTTTGAGACCAATGTCCCTAATTAAGGAATCGTTCTTGATATTGTTAAGAACATCTTGATCATGCAAACTTGGATACATTTCTCGCGACGAATACCAGAACTTGTAAAATTCAATTGATCTGTTATTCGACCTCACATGATTGAAACCACCATTAGGTCTATTTCCCACATCATCAGGTTTGCCTGAGAAATGATCACATGCTATCTGAAAGTCTGCGTCCTTGTAAAAGTGAGGAAAGGGATCTCTGAACCACATGACATCAGCATCCTAGCAGATGGAACCAAATAAAGTGTGAATTATGGAACATGTTTGCCACCTAGAGAGATAATGTAATACATTTTACTAGCTACGTGGCATCAGAAATTGTTCAATATATTGAAGTCCTGATATGCAGAATTATTCAAGCGCAAAAAGTGATCCTTCAACAAAACATTACCAATATTAATGCAAAAAGGTGAGCTGCGTATACAGTGTATATCAAGTGGTATGTACAGCAGAATTCATGACACTGCTCTTCCAAATTTGGTTAACCAGAACAAGAGATGATCCAAAAGAACTAAAAAGGAAAGTGTAACCAGACAATATGAACTTAACATAAATACTAAATCAGTATATACACGTCCGCTTATAAATTCCATAGGCATGCTTGACTCATCAGCATTTCGATTCATACTTTAGCATAATTCTCATGTGCTATATCTTGCTTCGGGAGAACAATGAGACCTTAAAAAAACTTTATCCACAGTCCCTAACAATCTAAAACATCTAGGATACTGGTCTCAGTTAATTGTATAATAAGGAAGAACGATTTATAAGGAGAACTCACAAAAGCCTCGAATCTTATCAGATCAAGTTCCCAATAAGACTACATGTTCACCTTTCATCACACTCTCATTAAAGATATTATTTATAACCATGTATTCTCAATATTTCAAGGGAAAAACATCTCAAAGTGGTAAAGGAACTTTTTCTTTCCAGTTCTATAACTAGGCAGTTCTAAAATAAGAAAAAGAAAGAACCTTATAATGTCTGGAAATGAAATCCATTTGAATATTAACTAAAATTTGGTCAGGAAGTGATTCCAGCTTATGTTTATTCACATAACTTATTATAACAGACCATGTATTTATGCCAGGTTACCCCAAAATTACAGAGCAAGATACAAACTGTTTCCTTGAACAGGTCTTTTTGGATATACGACATGCCCAAGTATAAAGGTAAATCAGACAATCAAACCATTCCAAATAAGACAAATCAAGTATTTCTGGAAACCTTAATTTTCCCGTCTTGCTTCGTTACAAAGAAACAAGTTCCTCAATTCGAGACCATCAAGATCATGCTACACAACCAAAATTTTAATGATGATAAATGAACTGAAATTTTTGCTAGCTTAAGACAAAACTACAAAAAAAAAAAAAAGGAAATTAGGATGAGCACTAGGAAGTGTACCGTGAAGACAAAGTTGTATCCCATTTCAAGCACCACTCTTAAAAAGTCTATCCTTCTCCACATCATCTTCAAGTAGTCAGGGAACATGAAATAAGCTTCCTTTGAAAAATCAACCCCTTCAGTTACTAGTGCATAGCAATGAATATGTAAAGACAAGCATCTAGTGAATGCCTTCTCATCAAGTGCGATAATGACTAAATGATTCAAAAGCCTGCGGGTGTGATCTCCGATCCTAAAACTTTCAAGAAATAGATCAACAACTGAATTCGGAACAGCCCACGCTTCATTCAAAGTCGTTAAGATCACTGTTTTATCCTCCATAGCTGCATTCTTCAATACTTTCTCAAGCCTGTACTCCTCACTATCCTACACAAGAATGCGATTTTAAGCAAATACGAAATGTCAAATTGTCCTGAATAAATATCATATTTCTTCATTGGTTTCTTCTTTATTTATAGATTTCGATTAGCACTAATGTTTTTCCTCAGTACACGTGAGAGCATCACAAGATTAATTCTAATTGGTCCAAGCCCTCGAATCTGTTGAATTCTCTCTATGCAAACAAATAAAATTGGTCTTAAGACGTGGATCATATATTAATGTAGCACTTAAAAATAAACTAAAATACAAATCAAGCAAACACTCAATTTCTCAAGAACCTACCAATCAATCAATTCTAATTAATCAGCTCTACAAATCCTCTGTGTCTAAATTTCGGTCATTTCATCCCAATTATGCCTAAGTAAGGTTCGCCAACTATAGTCGATCACAATTCTGGCAAAGGAAAAGGATTGCAACAGATAAATAGCGAGTAAAAATAATTTAATTTAACTCGGGGATCATGGTGGGCGATATGACCTGTACACTAAACATAAAAGAATCAATGTTGTAGAAACTTGAATTGTCCTTATTTTGATCTAAAAATGTTTCGTTAAAGGAAGAGGGAAAGAGGAGAGTGATCCTAACCGAGGAAGCGGAGACATTAGGGGTTGCACGTGAGGTGATGAAAGAGTCAGGGATGCGGAAGCCAACATTTTCACCGGCTCTATAAAGGACGAAACAAGAGAAAGAAGCGGCAGCTAGGACAAGCGCTACCGTAGCGATGCGACGAACAACCAAACCAGAATTCGCAGCAGCAGCTGTAGTAGTAATTGTCTTCGACGGCAAAAAATCAGTTAACATCTCCGTCAATAAATGCGGTGTCTGTCGGTGACAACGGTGGCAGTGAAATGGGGAAATTAAGGAGCGTTTCGGAAATGGGATATGAACAGAAGGAATTGGGAGGAGAAGCGGTTGGAGACGTATTTGTAGGCGTTGTGATTGTTGAAGAGAGAGAGAGAGACTGAGATTTTGTGAATTTGAAGAGAAGCTGGTAGTAATGTTTAATTTAAATTAATGGATTTGGCTACCCACTTTCATCCCCCGCTCTTTCCCGAAACAGACGGAGACCGAGTGCTAACGAGCTGGATTTTTTATTTTATTTTAAAAATAAACTATTTGGTTTAATTTTTATATATTATTGCAGAATTTTCACATTATAAAGATAAAGGTTTTTTTTTCGGTTTTTCATATGGTGTTAGATACATTAGGTTAAATCCAGATTCGTGCCAGAATCTCTCACATTGGAAAGTAAAATGCTCCCTAATAAAGATAACTCTATACATAAAGTTCGAACCGAAGACCTTTGATTAAATTTACTACTCCATCATAATCCTTATAAAGATTCAAGAGGATTTGATTTTTTTAAATCGGATGTCCAGAAGGGACCAAGAAAGATGGATTACATTAAATCTATTGTAATACTATTTTTATAATTTAAACATGTGACCTCAAACGTCACACACGATAACTCTTATGGTTGTGTCACGGCCCGAAATTTCCACCTTCGGGATCGTGATGGCGCTTAACATTTCACTTGCTAGGCAAGCCAATATTAGAGTAATTCTTTACCAATTTTAACCACTTTAAACAATTTAACCAATTAAACAGAAATGAAGTTCATAATAAAGTACGAAATAGCGTAATAACCCAATATCTAATACAACTCGGATTTGAAGTTACAAGTACACGAGCTTCTAGAGTTTCTACAAACAGGGTTTGAAATAAGTATAATTGTCTCGAATGAAAAGAACAGTAAATAGGGGAAAAGTGGAAGGAGACTTCAAGGTCTACGGACGCCAGCAGATGTACCTCGAGTCTCCAAAAGCTAATATGAGCTGATACGCCTCACGGACAGTTGGGACTAGTACCAAAATATGCACAAGAAGTGCAGAGTATAGTATGAGTACAACCGACTCAATGTACTCCGTAAGTGTCGAGTCTAACCTCGACGAGATAGTAACGAGGCTATGATAGGACACTCACATAAATAAACCCGTAGAGACGGAAATATACGTACAACATAACAACAAATAAAGAATTTACAAGTACTATTAGAGGGACATGCGAAGGGGTACAAAAATACGGTAATTACAACAAGGAATGATAATAAGAACAGTCAGTAAACCTTTAGCAAATGAAGCATATATACATAATGGGTAAAAACTGCACGACATCACCCTTCGTGCTTTCACTCTCAACCTCACCATGAAATGATAAATACGGCACAGCATCACCCTTCGTGCTTTTACTCTCAATTTCATCATGAAACAATAGATACGACACGGCATCACCCTTCGTGCATTAACTCTCAAATACGACACGACATCACCCTTCATGCATTAACTCTCAAATACGGCACGAAATTACCCTTCGTGCATTAACACTCTCCGTTACCATGTAACAATGAACATATAACAATAGGGAGATAGAATAAGCAAGAACAGACCTTATGGCAACAATGGTTCCACAATATCAACCTCAACTTCAGAACAGATAGCCCATAAATGCGGAAAGAACGATCAATTTAGTAATTAACTTGTCTAAGCATGGATATCATGAAAAAAAGCAATAAATTACAAGAAACAAGTCCCACCCGCATACTTTAACCCAACAACAACGCATAAGTACTCGCCACCTCACATATATGTTGTACCCAACATCTAAACAAGTAGAAAATAGGTAAACAAGTCCTAATCCCTCAAGTCAAGGCTAACCACGACACTTACCTCGCTCCAAAATCAACTCAAAGCTCAACCACAACTTTGCCTTTCATACAAGCCTCCGAACCAACTAAATCTAGCAAACTATCAACCAAATGATTCAAAATAAGCCTTAGGAACTACCCACAATTGCAAAAGATTCAATTTAGGTCATTATTAAAAAAGTCAACAAAAGTCACCTCCCGGGCCCGCTTGGCCCAAACCCGAAATTCGGACCAAAGTCCGATTACCCATTTACCCCCGAGCCCGGTTATGTAATTTGTTTCAAAATTTGACCTCAATTTGAGGTCTAAATTTCAATTTTACAAAAAATCCCTAATTCTATCCAAACCTCCAATTTCCACCATGAAAATCCTAGACTTTAGGTTGAAATCTTATGAAATGCAATAGAAAATTGAAAGAAAATAGGTTAGAATCACTTACCAATGAATTGGGGAAGAAGGGCTCTTGGGAAAATCGTCTCTAGGGTTTCTAAGTTTGAAAATTTGTGAGAATGAACTAAAATCCCGTTTTCCCATCTTAAGTTCACGCGTAGATGTCGCAATTGCGACCTGGTTGCGAACCCTACAAATGCAAGAAATCCTTCGCAATTGCGAAGGTCCCCCATCTCTGATATCACTGCATTTGCGATGGCTTGTTCGCAAATGAGAACTTGAACTCCTCGAAATTGCGATCATTTTGATCGCAAATGCGAACACTACCTCCCCCAACCCACTTTGCAAAAGCGAAGAATTTGTTTGCAAATGCGAACATGTGGTGCCCAGCTATTCTTCGCAATTGCGAGGAAATAGCTCGCAATTACAAACCTGACAGTGAGCCTGCCTCATCGCAATGCGAAGCCTGACCTCGCAATTGCGAGGTCTGAGGCCTGCACCAGAACTGAAGAACACCAGCTATGATTCTAAGTCCAAATTTACTCCGTGGCATATCCGAAACTCACCCGAACCCTCGGGGCTCCAAACCAAATATGTACACACGTCCAAAATTATCATACGAACTTGCTCGCGCGATCAAATCGCCAAAATAACACCTAGAAATGTGAATCGCACACCAAATTAAATGAAATTTTCAAGAAAACTTTAGAACTTTTATTTTAACAACCGGACGTCCGAATCACGTCAAACTAACTCAGTTTTTTACCTAATTTAAAAGACAAGTCATAAATATAGTAATAGATCTACAGCGAATTCCGGAACCAAAATACGGACCCGGTATCAACAAAGTAAAACATTGGTCAAACCTTTAAACTCTTTAAACCTTTAAACTTCAAAATTTCGACAAAAAGCGATAACTCGAGCTAGGGACCTCCAAATTCGATTCCGGGCATACGCCCAAGTCCCAAATCACAATACGGATCCACCGGGACCGTTAAAATATTGACCCGGATCCGTATGCTCAAAACGTAGACCGAAGTCAACTCAAATAAATTTTTAAGGCAAAATTTTATATTTTATCAATTTTTAACATAAAAACCTTCTGGAAAAATATCCAGACTGTGCATGCAAATCGAGGAATCCTTAAAGAAGCTATTGGAGGCTTCGAAACGCAGAATTAATGTTTAAAACTCTAGATGACCTATCGGGTCATTATAGGTTGCGCGAAGAATTCCTTTCAAATTTACTTTATTAGGTTTAAATAAAAATTGATAGTTATTGTGAGCATCAAGCAATAACCATTTAACAATTAAATCGTTTTGACATAGTAAATAAAGTACCTAACTCAAATTCGTCATCTCTTTTATGTTAAACTATTTTACTATCATATAATATAAGAGCCAACTAAATGTATTACGTATCTACTATAAGGAAAGAATGAATAATCAAAAGAAGCTTGCGAATGACATACTGCAACTAATTATACTACACTAACAGCATTTTTCTAATTGAAAGTGTTTGTAACTTAAATCCTTTCATTGTGGATTTAAAAGACTGAAGTAAAATATAATAAGAGTGCAAGGTAATTTAACTAATTATATTAGCTTCCCTATCATATCTTCCAGATTATCAATTAAAATTTGAGAATTCCACTAAACCCTTTTAATATTATACCCAATCTATCATTGGAATGAGACCGACAATCCCCTTGAGCACTGGCTTAGCTAGAAATCTCGTCAAGAATGTCCAAACTTTAAAGAAGTCAATCATTTTTTTTCCAATAAATGGGTGTACTACAATTTTTAAATTCAACTACGCTATATTTAGCTTAAAAATAAAAATAATAAACCAAAGGACAGAGAGTCGAGGGGGTTTATAGTATTTAGAGAGCTTTTGTTGGAATTTTTTTTTTGTAGACCTAGACTTTTAAATTATAATTTTTTTAAGAAATAACTTTAAATTCAAAAACTACTTTTAAGATTAGATATTTATTTTTACACATACGTTGGTCTCTGTTTAGTTTTGACAAATAAAATGGGCAAATAGTTAGACAGGAATTTAAACTCGTAAACAATACCTTACTTTTAACACTCTGGACTACTGGGATGTCTCACTCAACTATATTAAAGGTGTTCAAAATGTAATATATAACCATTTAAAATAATATTTGATCTATGTATACAGTATAATATTTTAGCAAAGAGTGTTTACTTGATCGATCACCTTTGGCATAGTGTGTCCATACTCGCCACTGCCCTTCATGAGTAGTATTTTTCGGTGAGTTTTAGAATTTTAAATTAACTTTCTTTTTGTCCTTTTTGTTTAGAGGTTCAATCAACAAAGCATATGAACTACTACTTGACAAAATGCGTACAAAATAGTCTACTTTATAGAAGAAGGGAGATTTGGTATGATCCGAGTGCAAAACCGTGTATATCAGACGAATGAAATGAACAACAAAGTTTTCCATGCAATGTTGGAAGAAATTGGGCAACATTTTCAGAAATTAATATTGCATGATTACATTTCATGCAACTAGCTTTGACAACACATTACATTCTATGACAAAAATGATTTTCCCCGCTATGAATCATACTTAGCACCCAACCCTCATTGAATTCCTGTCCTCTCCCCGGGGGCGGCCCGACCAATTTTGTGGTCTAAAGTCAAACTTTATGAGGGGTCTTAACTTTTTAATTTTTTTATTATTATTTATTTGAAATCTATTTTTTTTTAGCTTTTCTTAGATACAAAGTTATAAATAATTTTCTTACAAACAATAACTCCTAATAAATATTTTTCAATTGACAATATAACTAATCCATCTAACCTTTCTTGTGACATTGTTGTTCTTAGGTAAGATTTTATTAATTTTAATTTTGAAAACTTCTTTCCGCTGAAGTAACGG